TGTCTTTCATAAATAAAAATGAATATAAGTGTTTAAAAGTTCATGGAAAATAGAATTAAATGATAAATTTCCTTTGGTGCAAAAAATGTGAAATTCATGCATAGTGTTTTCATAGTACATATTCTTCATAAACTTTGAGGGTTCAATACTGAAAAGTAGCCATTAATTTGTAAATTAAGTTTACTGGTGAATCTGGCATTACTGCTTTCAGTTTGCTGTGAGAGCAGAAGTCAAATTGCATGGGTTTAAGAGTGACCAGGAGGTACTCAATTGAGTCTTACTAGTATAACCATTCATAGGAGTTGTTTAGGTGATATGGGAGGATAAAAACTGGATGATACAAAAAATTAGATGTAACTGTGAAAAGATTAACAGCCAAGAGAGTATTAAAAAGTAATGGTGGAAATTTGCTCATCTTTAGTGACTGAGAGTAGTAAGAAAAGAGACTGAAGATATAGAAGAAAAGAGAATTCATAACTGAGAAAGAAAAGAAATAAACCTGGTTGTCTGAGGGGGAGGAGCCAAGAGAAAGACTTATTTTCTTCTTTGGATAAGACTAGAGTGGTGGCTCCCAATTGAAATAATGTAATCAGGCCGGCACTGCGGCTCACTAGGCTAATCCTCTGCCTTGCGGCACCGGCACACAGGGTTCTAGTCCCGGTCGGGGCACCAGATTCTGTCCCGGTTGCCCCTCTTCCAGGCCAGCTCTCTGCTGTGGCCCGGGAGTGCAGTGGAGGATGGCCCAAGTGCTTGGGCCCTGCACCCCATGGGAGGCCAGGAGAAGCACCTGGCTCCTGCCATTGGATCAGCGCAGTGCGCTGGCCGCAGTGCACCGGCCGCAGCAGCCATTGGAGGGTGAACCAACGGCAAAGGAAGACCTTTCTCTCTGTCTCTCTCTCACTGTTCACTCTGCCTGTCAAAAAAAAAAAAAAAAAAAAAAGAAAGAAAGAAAGAAATAATGCAATCTTGAGGGGGTGGTTTGAAAGTTTATGAAAGGCAATTAAGGTGATTATAACAAGCAGAGTGCTCGCTGGCATGTTGTGAATATGATCAGGGATGCTAAATGTTCTGCAATATGCAGGACAGCCTGCACAAAGAAGACATTTTCTACATCCTAGACAACTTTTGACTATCCCGTTGGATGTTTACCTAGGTGAAAAATCTGTTTATATTAATCTAGGCCTTGAATTGAACTCCATTTAATATACAAAATATAAATTTTACTACACACAGACTTTTCCAGGAATGCAGTTACCAGATAAACCAAGATAAGATGTTACTTTGTTTTGTTCATCATTTTGGAAAATCATGCCATCTACAAAAAAATTCTGCCCTTGGACATTTGAGATATCAGTAACAATAAACCTGTATCAGTTATCATTTGTAGCTACCATATTTATAAGCATTCTCTGTATATTTTTCTGCATAGTTTATTTTCTTCTATTGTCATGCCTCAGCATTTACATATTTAAATGCTTTGCTTCGTTAAAATAGCTTTTGTTGCATTTGTCTTCCTTTTTTTTTTTTCAAAGATTCATGCATTTATTTGAATGTCAGACTTACACAGAGAGGAGAGGCAGAGAGAAAGAGAGAGAGAGACAGAGAGAGAGGTCTTCCATCCACTGGTGCACTCCTCAATTGGCCACAATGGCTGGAGCTGTGCAGATCTGAAGCCAGGAACTAGGAGCCGCCTCCAGGTCTCCCACGTTGGCACAGGGTCCCAAGGACTTGAGCCATCCTGTACTGCTTTCCAGGCCACAACAGAGAGCTAGATCAGAAGTGGAGTAGCAGGAACTAGAACCGGCACCCACATGGGATGCCGGCACCACAGGCAGCGGCCCCACCTGCTACGCCACAGTGCCGGCCCCTGTATTTGTCTTTCATATTACAGATACCAAGTCTTTTAAAATTACTTCAGGTTTATTTTAAAGATTTATTAATTTATTTAAAAGTCGAAGTTACAGAAAGAAAGAGAAACAGTTCTTTTTTGTTTGTTTGTTTTGTTTTTTTCTTTTTTTTTAAAAAAAACTTTTATTTAATGAATATAAATTTCCAAAGTACAGCTTATGGATTACAATGGCTTCCCCCCATAACGTCCCTCCCACCCGCAACCCTCCCCTTTCCCACTCCCTCTCCCCTTCCATTCACATCATGATTCATTTTCGATTCTCTTTATATATGGAAGATCAGTTTAGCATACATTAAGTAAAGATTTCAACAGTTTGCTCCCACACAGAAACATAAAGTGAAAAATACTGTTTGAGTACTAGTTATAGCATTAAATCTCAATGTACAGCACACTAAGGACAAAGATCCTACATGAGGAGTAAGTGCACAGTGACTCCTGTTGTTGACTTAACAAATTGACACTCTTGTTTATGGCATCAGTAATCACCCTAGGCTCTTGTCATGAGCTGCCAAGGCTATGGAAGTCCCCTGAGTTCACCGACTCTGATAATTTTTAGACAAGGCCATGGTCAAAGTGGAAGTTCTCTCCTCCCTTCAGAGAAAGGTACCTCCTTCTTTGATGACCCGTTCTTTCCACTGGGATCTCACTCGCGGAGATCATTCATTTAGGTTTTTTTTTTTTTTTTTCCCCCAGAGTGTCTTGGTTTTCCATGCCTGAAATACTCTCATGGGCATTTCAGCCAGATCCAATGCCTTAAGGGCTGATTCTGAGGCCAGAGTGCTGTTGAGGACATCTGCCATTCTATGGGTCTGCTGTGTATCTCACTTCCCATGTTGGATCGTTCTCTCCTTTTTTTATTCTATCGGCTAGTATTTGCAGACCCTATTCTTGTTTATGTGATCCCTTTGGTTCTTAGTCCTATCATTATGATCAATTGTGAACAGAAATTGATCACTGGGACTAGTGAGATGGCATTGGTACATGCCACCTTGATGGGATTGAATTGGAATCCCCTGGTATGTTTCTAACTCTACCGTTTGAGGTAAGTCAGCTTGAGCATGTCCCGAAACAGTTCTTTAATCCGCTGGTTTACTCCCCAGATAGCTGCAACTTCCAGGGCTGAACCAGCCTGAAGCCAGGAGCTTCATCCAGATCTTCCACATGGTTAGCAGGGCCCAAACACTTGAGCCATCCTCTGCTGCTCTTCTGATGCCATTAGCAGGGAACTGGATTGGATCAGAAGTGGAGCAGCCAGTACTAGAACCAGGTGGCAGCTTAACCTGCTATGCCACAATGCCGGCCCCAAATGCTGGCAACTTTTAAGCATAAATGCAGAGATTTGTAAGAGTAGCTTATGCATGATGCTTTGTGGTAGAGGTTACCATAACTGTTATTCTCAATTCCCGTGAATATATCTTAACCTTTCTGTGATACCTAAAATTCTTTTCTTCCTTTACTTTTTTTAAGATTTATTTTACTTATTTGAAAGGCAGAGAGGGAAAGACAGAGAGAGAGAGACAGAAAGAGATTGATCCTGCATCTTCTAGTTCACTCCCCAAATGTCCACAATAGCCAGGGCTGGTAGGCTGAAACCAGGAGCCTGAAGCTCTATCTGGGCTTTCCATGTAAGTGGCAGGGGTCCAAGCATCTGGACCATCTTCTGCTGAATTCCCATGCACATTACATTAGCAGGGAGCTACGTCAGAAGCAGAGCAGCTAGGACTCAAACTAGTGCAATGATATGGGATAATAGGAACTTAACCTGCTGTGCCTCACCACCAGCCCCTCTCTCCCTTTCTGTGATATCTTTCTTTCTAGCTCTCTTTTTATATATCTGGCCACTGTCTGTCATTGCCATTTTCTGAATGCTCTTACTCTGCCCTGATCCTGATTGGGTTGTTCTTAAATATCCTTGTTTTAATTCTCATTTCCACTTGGCAGTCTCACCCACTGCTCTGAGTTAAATTAAACATATATGTAGTTGACTCACAAATACGTATTTTGAGAACAAATCTTTTTTAAACCTTCAGAGACATGTAACTAACTGCCTGCTGACCCTTTCTCTGTGGATGCCTTATCAGCACTGCAAACTGAACACAGCCAAAACTGGAATCTTTGAATCATCACCAGCAACACCACAAACCTGTTTTTATTCTTGTGAGTACTAATTTCCCCAATCCAAAAATTAGGGCATCATGTCCTGTTCCTCCTCTTCTGTACCTCCACTGTTTAATCTGTCACCCAGTCATAAAGATTAGTCCTTCAAAATATGTCAGGAATTTGTCATTTCCTTCCTCATTCACCTAACTATTCCCATACTCTGGTTTGGACCCTCACCATTTCTGTCCTAAATGACAATACTGATCTCCTGCCTCCATTCCTGCCTGTTGACTTGGCGTAGCCTCTAGAATCACATTTCTAAAGTAAATATCTAACCATATAATTTTCCTACTTAAAATCCTATCATGATTTCCTGCTTCCTATGATAAAATCTAAAGTCTTAGCATGGCCTAACATATTCCTTACCGCATGTTTCTTATACAGGCTTTCTCTATTCTCTATTGTTACTAATCCCTCCATTCCAACCACACAGAAGCCTTTTCTTGTATTTGTATTTATATATTACTAGGTTATTTTAATGAACATACTGTTATTTGATGCTCATTTCTTTGGACATTTGGCTATCTCTGATATCTTTACACCCTTGTCTCCCTTGTGAACTTCATTTTTCCACATCCTGTTCATTTGTTATAGACTCTGGAAATTGTATTCCTTGTTCCCTCTCCTCTGCCTCTAGAAGTGAATACTTCCTCTTTGCCATTTCTGTGCTTGGTATTTGTCTATTACTGCACATGTCAAGTGCTGACTTGGCAGATGGCATGTTGAATTCTCAGTGTAACATCTTCCATCTGGTTCATTAGCAATGTAAAAGAGAAGTAAAGGGCATAAAAGAATTTTATTAGTTTACTTCATGGTTTTTGCTTTGTTTTAATATAACTTATAGTGAAGTCCATAAATCTTAAGTGTTTAGCTTGATGAATTGTTTCTGTCTGCCAGTAGTGTCTTTGATATCCATCACTTATCTGTATTTTAAACATATTACTGACTCATGGATTGCAAGATTTTATAACATGCGTTTATTTTGTTAAATTGTACATTTCCAAAGAACCAAACTAAGTAACAGCTCTACTTTTTTAAAGCATTAATCACATAGATTTTATTATGGTTTTCTTTTCCTTTAAATTATATCAATTGCTATGACTCTAACACATTTCTACTATTTTTTTGGCCCTATGTTATAAAATTTAAATTGTGAACATAAAAGTTGTTTTTATTTAGAAAGTGCTTATTATTGTCCTGGTGGGGCAACATAAGCTTTTGAGTGATTGCAATGATTTCTTGCGTCTCAAATTTGCCTGATTCTTTACAGGAAGACTGGGAAACTTTGTTATATAGTTGTTTGCATGTTTGGACGTCTGTCATTTAAAAGCTCAGGAAAACAAAAGCTGTTATTTGTGTGACAGGCATCTTCCTATAAAATATTGTAAAATCAAAATTATAGTCTGTTCTAACAGATTTTTAATACCCCCAAATGACTGGCAATCATTTTTAATATTTTATTTCTCATAAAGAGAAAGGCATTTTAAGGAAGCAGTTATCTTCGTAAATTTATGAACAGTTGTATAGAGACTGTTAGCTTCCTGTTCTAAGGCAGTCTTTTTAACTGAGATAAAAATAAAATGTTCTCTAGTATTTTATAGATGTTAAATTTTATGGTAAATGAAATTTACTGCAGTGATTTTTTTCAAGATTTTTATTATTTATGTGAGAGAGAGAGAGTTACAGACAGAGACAGGGATAGACAGACAGAAAAGAATTTCCATCCCCTGGTTTACTCCCCAGAATGGCCACAATGGCCAGAGCTGGGCTGATCCAAAACCAGGAGCTTTTTCTGAGTCTCCCAAGTGGGTGCAGGGGCACAAGCATTTGAGCCATGTCTATTGCCCTCCCAGGCCATAGCAGAGAGCTGGATCATAAGAGGAGCAGCTGGGACTTGAACTAGTGCCCATATCAAATGCTGGTGCCTTAGGTGGAGGTCTAGCCCACTACACCACAGTGCTGGCCCCTGCAGTGATTTTAAAATTATGAAAGATTGATTTGGAAATAGATGCTACTAATTAATCCTGACATATGTCATAATTGAAAATAAGAGGAAAACAACTCAGGGGCTGGAATTTCACACGACTGTTTTTTTAAACTTTTGTTTAATAAATATAAATTTCCAAAGTACAGCTTTTGGATTACAGTGGCTCCCCCCATAACTTCCCTCCCACCTGCAATCCTCCCATCTCCCACTCCCTCTCCCATTCCTTTCACATCAAGATTCATTTTCAATTATCTTTATATATGGAAGATCAATTTAGTATATATTAAGTAAAGATTTCAACAGTTGGCACCCACACAGAAACACAAAGTATAAAGTACCATTTGGGTACTAGTTATAGCATTAATTCACACTGTACAACATATTAAGGACAGAGATTCTACATGGGGAGTAAGTGCACAGTGACTCCTGTTGTTGACTTAATGATTGACACTCTTGTTTATGGCATCAGTAATCACTCACACAACTGTTAAGTCATGCCTTGGGAAACCCACATTTCATATCAGAGTCCCTGTGTTCAAGTTCCAGCTAAGCTTCTGACTTAGCTTCCTGTTAATGCATGCCATGGGGGGCAACAGGTGATAGCTCAAGTAGTATGGTACCAGTCACCCACATGTGAGACTCCTATTGAATTCTGGGCTCCTGGCTTTCAGTGTGACACAGTCCCTGCTGTTACAGGTATTTGAGGAAATAAATGGAGGATAGAAGATTCTCATTTCTCTTTCTCTCTCTCTCTCTCTCTCTCTCTTCTCTCTCTCTCTCTCTGTGTGTGTGTGTGTGTGTGTGTTTCTCTCTCTCTCAAATAACATGAGAAATAAATAAAAAAATTTAAAAGCATCAAATCAGTTGTCTACAAAGAACTCAAATTAAGGAGATAGAGAATGCACTATGTAGGAGTATTTAGATATTAAATACTAATATTTCTTATTTTAGAATTGTGTGTTAATACAGAAATTCTATTCCTTGTCACATCAATTGTGTGGGAGAGTGGCAGTCAATCTCCACCAGGGTAAAAATGATCAGAATAAGGAATAAACTTACTATTGCAAACTTTTCCCTTATTTTTGATGACACAGAAAAGAAGAAACATTTTAACACAATCCAGTTTTAAAAATATAGGGTAATGGGGCCTGTGTGTGGCATGGCAAGTTAAGCTGCTGCCTGCAGCACCAGCATCCCATATGGGTGCCTGTTCGAGTCCAGGTTCCTCCACTTTCAATCTAGTTCCCTGCTAAAGCACCTGAGAAAGCATCAGAGGATGGCCCAAGTGCTTGGGCACCTGCACCCACGTGGGAGACCCAGATGAAACTCCTGGTTCCTGGCTTCAGTCTAGCCCAGTCCTGGCCATTAAGACCACTTGGAGAGTGAACCAGTAGATGGAAGACCTCTCTGTCTCTGCCTGCATTTTTCCCTCTCTGTAACTCCACCTTTCAAATAAATGTCTTAAAAAATATCTATCTATATGTATATATGTATATATAGGAAGATTTCAACAACCAAGACTATAGCTTGTCACTAGATCTACAAATGTTGAGGTGCATCATCCCTACACTTACAAACCAGAAGATGTCAGAACCTGAAACTTATCAATATACCATGAGACCAGGTTTCAGCCTCCGCTTTAGCTTTCAGCAGCTCCTGATCAAAACCAGAAGGTAAACAATCAGAACTATTTTCAGTGGTCAGCTATTTGAATGGGAAAGAGGAAGTATCTGTCTTGTACTCCCAAATGCTATCTCCCAGTAGTTTGATTAGTTTGTTTGACTCTTGGTTTTTAACAGATTTAATACTGTTTGTAGATACAACACTTATTACATAATGATATTCCTTTGCTCCCTACCCCTCTTCCTCCCATCCTCCTTCCTTCTCCACATCTATCTATCCGCCTTTTGTTAGTTTTTGACATAACCACTCATTAGTTTGAAGATACCCATTATCCTCCACTCCCCCAAACCTGCATTCCAGTGCCAAGGACCCATCCTCTCCTTTCCTTTTAGTTTCATTAAAATGTGTTTTACAAATAACTATTCTGCTCCTTAGTCACCAGGAGTGGACTATATAGCAGAAGACAAAATGGGCTGTGAGTGAGTTGCTTTTAGGCACCGCCTCTGAGGCCCTGTGGGCTCCCAGGCAGGCCACGGGGACCTGGGGTGGCAGTTGGGATGGCTAGACGCCACACCGGCATTGGGAGGAAGTGCAGTCTGGCTGCAAGGCCAGCGGAATGGCTGGACTGGCACCGGGACCCAGGGAGCTGGCAGCTCTGAAGGCAGGTTGAGGGTCCCTTTGAATTGGGTGGTCAGACTAAGGCTTGGTGGCAGGTGTGTGTGTCTTTCCTGGCCTCCTACCCTTGTTTCTTTTTCCTTCCTTTTTTTCAAGTTGCAAAAGGCGGAGGAGCCTTGGTGCAGAGGGGCACGCCACCCAGGCCTGGCAGTTTATCTGTGGCGCCACACTGCCATCAAGCGGAAAGTGTTGGTGGTGAGGGAAGGGGGTTCGGCACAGGAGCAGGCGAGAGCGAAACAGTGGGCAGATGGGGCGGCAGGGGTCCCCGAGGCTGCAGCTCCACAAGTAGCTGGTGGCTGGCACTCACCCCTCCCTTCACCCCTGCTCCCGGCTCCCTCCCAGACACACGGTCTGCTACCGCGGCGCTCTCTGCTATAGCAGGTGCTAGGGCCAGGGCAGTCCGTCATGGCGGCCGGCTGCCCATGGATGTGGCCTGGGGCCGCCATACGAAAAATGTCCCTCCCCCAGCACCTGTCATCTCCTCTGCTCCCGGGGAGGACTGGGGCCTTACTCTCCGGGGTACTCCCCCTAATGGACACCAAGGCTAGGGGCTTCCCGTGGGCTCACTCCAAAATGGCCTATGGCGAAGCTCCGCCCTCTGGGCTGAATTCAGGCCCTTGGGGGCTGTCTGCATTTCTGTGCCAGAATCTAAATTTAGAGTGCAGGCAGGCCTCTGGCCCGTTTGCAGCTGGTGCTGGTGTTTGTGCTCCTCCTGGTGGTGACGGTCGCTGGCAGGTCGCCAGGTGAAGGGACAGGGCGAAACGCCCTGGTGTGCACGCTGTCTTCCAGGCCTCTGTCTCCGGGTAGGGAAATTCCAGGCCTGGGCCTAGTCTCTTCAGCCAAGCACATCCCCTTGCCTGTCCCTGTGCTTGGCTGAAGGCGAGCTTCCCTGGTGCTTGGTGTTTTCAGACACAGTTGCCGCTGGATGGCACTGTAGCTCCACAAATGACTCACCCTGATCCCAGCCCTCCTCTACCTCTAGCCCTACCATGGCCTCTGCTTTTTGCAGCCTCAAAATAAAACACCAGCAAACCAAAAACAACAGCCCCCGCCTCGAACACAGGGGCCTTGCCTTGGGCCAGTGAGGATTCTCACCCAAGTGTAGCCAGGCTGTACCCTTTCTCTCTGGTTTCTTGTCTTGGATGCACCCTCCAGTGAGCACATCAGAGCCCCTGCTGCATGGTGGAGTTTTCAGGGGCAGGGCTGGGGTTAGGAGGTGTTGTGTGGATTCACCTCTGAGTGAGAGCCTGAATCCTGGCCAAGAACAAGGGCTTGTTGCTTGTGTGCCTTTCACCTTTCCCTCTCCAGCAAAATATGTGTGTGTTTGCGGGTGGGGGGCGGGGGCATGGTGCTGCTGCTGCTGCTGCTGCTGCTGTTGGTCATCTGGAGAGAGAGCTGTGTTGCTTAGAGCCTAATAGACTTCTGTAGTCTTCGACTTAAGTGGGGCTCTGGGCCTGCTCCTGATTCAGACAGGAAAGGAAATGAGTGATTGGGGGACACATGAGACCAGTTCTTAAATGCTTTCCCAGCAGACGTGCCACAAAATATGGGAGCATGAGTTTACACACATGCAGCCTGGTGTGATGGGGAACCCTGATGACCTTGCTGTGCAGGTATCCCACCCAACCCGTGCCACTGGGACCTCTGAAGCAGCATGGAGCCCAGTGCTCAGTGCTTTGCACAGTACCCAAGATGTTTTGCCTCTTCACTTGAGTCCTCCACACCTGTGACAGATGTTGGCCCCAGGCAGGAAAACACAGGCTTTCCTAGGAGAGAAACTTAAAAACTCTGGGCCATTGCAACCTGGGGAGTATGCAGGGGGACGCCCACAAAGTGGAGTTAACATTTCCTTTGTTCTTCCACTTGAATGTATCCCTGGAGGGAGTTCTGGCCAGAGAAAGAGATACCCTCATGCAAACAGGTGTCACCTCTCTGTCTACTCGCTCTGTCTCGCTCACACACAGATGCACAGAAACAGACACACACACACACACACACACATACACACTCAGAACTGTCAGGCATACAGTACTCTGGAGTTTACCCTGATGTTTAGTAACCTCAATGTCCCATCCAACACCTGTTTTGGGAAAATGTAGGAAGAGGGAAATGCAGAGATGTGGACAGGGACCATCGTTTTTCATGTTCAACAGCAATCCCTTCTCACCCCTTCCTGAGTCTTCATGTGCTTCCATGCATACTCAGGCAAGCGAGTGTTCCAGTTTCCCCTTACATGAAAGCATCTGTGCAGGGTACCCCAAGCCAAGCTAAGGGTGCCAATTGTTGAGCTTCCTGGTCCCCACTTACTACTGCTTAGTGTTCTGGCATGCCATGAACAGTAGTGGATGAGGTTTTCCAGGCATGAAGGGGGTGGGAGATGGGAAGCCTTAATATATTCGTGTCAGGGTGCCACAAGCCTGTGTCTGTACCCAGTTCAGGTCTCTGGCTCCAACAGCTGAGGCTGTGCGGCTGTGCCATGACTCCTGCCTCTTCCCCCAGGAGGCCACAGGCTGCCCTCCTGTATTTCATCTGTGTGCGAGGGGATGCAAGCCCCACTTGGTCCTTGTTCTGTTTTCTACATGACTACTGCATTATGACGTTTGCCTCTGCTTCTCCAATTCTTGTTTTGTGGAGAACTGATTTCTGCGTGGAAGGCGGGATGAGATTGGGTGGGAGCACGGAGGTCGGATCCTGCAGGAGAATGAACTTTCTTTGCCTGTGCAAGTAAAACCATCTGTATTGACTATTGGAATGGATCACCTGCCACTTGTACTCTCCCTTTGTCAGGTCCCTGCTTACCTCATCCTCTCATCCAGTGGTGAAAGAGGTTTGCTGGGTTTGTGTATTGTGGTCACAGGACATACTATCTTCTTCAGGGTTTGACATGCCTTTGTCTTTTTCTGGTTTGTGCAGTTGAGGCCTTGCCTTCTCTCCTGGCTCTTTTCCAGTAGGCTGCAGGATGTCCATTCAATTTCACTTTGACCCCATTCTGTGGCGTGAAGTTTGCTGCTGCTTCTCAAATTCTTGTTTCATGGATGATGAGGTGTTTTTTTTTTACCAGAAATAATTGTTGATCATAACTATTAAAAATATGTTCAGCTTTTCTTAAGTTGTAGGAGTTTACCTAAAGCAGGAAGCATATTTAGGTTAAAGCAGTTTTGCTTATTTTAAATGTTGCACTTATACCACAATACATTGAAAATTCCAGATGCATGTTGAGAATCATGTTTTTCTGTAAATTCAAATATAGGAGCTATGTCTATGATTCAAAGTGGAAACATTTGGCATGTTTGTTAATTCTTCTTGGTTTAATATTCTGTAAGGCATCTGAGTGTACACTTTTTAAGATTGGGAACAATTTTAAGATGTAATACCAATACTTTATGAGTTTGGTAGTATTGTTTGTATGAAATTCTGAGACTTAAATGTATTATAACTGAAACTTGTTTAATAAATATCCCTTTTAAAAACTGAAAAACCAAAAAAAAATGGCATTTGGCATTTGTCACCTTTACACCAACATTCAAAGAGGCTGTCTATTGTAGGCAGAAGAGATCACTGTGACCACAAGTCTCTTTGTACTTCCTAAATAGGTTTATACTTTAGCCATGAAGGTCAGTTATCAGAACCTAACTTGTTCTTAACAAGTACAATTTTTATGACCATTCAATTAGAATCTCATATACCTTTCCAGGCCTACTCATTTGCAGAAAGGAGTAGAAACAGTAAGCAAGTTATTTATCTCATGCATCCAAGTGTGATGCTCAGTCTTTGTATGCTGTCCATTTTTTTTTTTACATATATATAAAAGGAATGACTCACAGCAGGGACACATAGATGAGGAAGTTTTGTTTAGAGGATATCACATCCTTTTGCATCTTCTTTTTCATCTCCAGGTGTAGCTTTGCTGTGCGGCTCTCACTTCGGAACATTGCCCACCTAGGTGGCCACCTCACAACCCTTTATTTTACTGCTTATTTGTTTTCCCACTTCCTCCGTTTGTGAGATATGTCATGATTTCCTCTTTATTTTCTTTATGGTTTATTTATTTATTTTTTGAAAATAATTGGAACACACACACAGAGAAAGAGAGAGAGAGAGAGAGAGAGATGACATCTATTAGCTATTCACTCTCTAAATTTCTGTAGTAGACAAGAAGTCTGGGCCAGGTCATAGCCTGGAGACTGGAACTCCATCTGGTCTCCCACACAGGTTCACAGGTTGCAAGTACTTGTACCATCTTCTGTTGCTTCCCCTGGCACAGTATCTTGGAGCTGGATCAGAAGAGAAGCTGGGGCTCAAGCCAATGCTCAGATATGGGATGCTGGCTTATCCTGCTGTGCCATTCTTCCAGCCCCTGGGTGGGTCATTACAATTTTTTAAGGGAGAAATTATTTGTATTGATTGATGTATTCATACTGAAATTATTATGTCATTCATTGTGTGTATATTACTATTGTTCCCTGTATTTTTTCCTGTAGTGTATTTCAAATGATATTTGGCCTTTCCTTTGCTTTAGTGGGTTTTTTGTTATGTCATATTGCTATAGAAATATTATGATAGAAATATCATTATGATAATCTTAAATGTAAAAATTATTTTTACAACAGTGTGTATGGATAATCTAACTTATATACCAAATCATAAATCTGAAACTTTATACTAATTGAAAATGGATCTTATTGGAGAATGGGACTGGAAATGGGAGGAGGTGGAGTGGAGGGAGTATAGTTTAGAGGGGAGGTATGGTAGGAAGAAGTACTGTATTCCTAAATTTGTACTTATGAAATGCATGAAGTTCGTATTCCTTACATAAAAGGTTTCTTTTGGAAAAAATATATAAATTTCTTTAAAAAAAAACTTTATACTACAGTAACCATTCATTATGGATATTTCTCAATACATAGAAAAAGGCTTAAAAAGGACTGATACCTGTGTTTTTTTCTGAAGAGGTCAGAGGAATGGTAAAATCTTGTTTGAAGTAAGAATTTTGTCTGTTGTTTATATTATTTGTGTAAACAGATTTCCTGAAAAATATAAGTTATGTGTCAAGAGGCGATGGAAGACTAAGAAAGCTGATTGATCAATTATGGAAAACCAAAAAATCCTCAAAAAACCAAAAAAAGCAGTCATAAAGTTATACATGTTAGCACTTTTTTGGGAGAAATGCGTCTACAGTGATCAAAACATCTGTTACGCCCTACAGTAGAATCTTCATGTTGCAGTCAAATATATCGTGAACTCATTAGCATATTGTGATTTGATTTTGTGTTTATCATGACCTCTTTTAATAATTTTGCTTTTCCTGTCACCTGCTTAAAAGGGACAGTAGGTGTTGTCTTCTCAAGAGGCATATCTGCCCTGTATGATAATCACATTCCTCATTATAAATTAATAAATTGTCATTTTTATCTTTCAGTATTATGATGTAATCAGCGTGAATTTACCTCCTGAATTTGGATGAATTCTAGGACATGGGCAAGATCAGCTTGTAGACTTCTAAGACCGAAGGTCATGGCCTGAATCATGATGAACTCACTAAAACAAATATTGCCCATGAGATGGTCCTGCACGCAGCCAACCAGTGCTCTCTGTTGGTGATATTCTAATCCTTGCTGTATAACTTTAAATTGCCATAAATTCATTAAGGTCCCAATAAATTTTGTCTCTCATTGTTGTGTTAAATCTGTATTACTACTGTCTAGTAAACCATACTTCACAAGAACTCAAAATATAAAATATAACTAAAATTAGTGTCAAAATACAACCTTATTTCTACAAGTGGATATCTACTTATTCATTAGCATGTGACAACACCAGGAAATACGATGAAGGGTAAAATCAGAAAATGAATCAAGATCCCAGAACAGTTTCTTCATTTTACTGTCATATTTTTTTTTTATTGTATCTGTATCCTACCACATTAGCTTCCATGCCATGCTCTTCTACATCTTAACTATTTCCCTCGTCAAGATGGTTGCTGTGCTTGATTTTTATGAATGTTTTACTTTCATTTAAGACTTTTTAAATTAGGATGAAAAAAGAGAAACAGAATTTGAAAATTTTTGTTAGCAACTTTATACATTTAAAATTATTTATTTAGTTATTTGAGAAGGATAGAGAGAGGAGCAAGAAAGAGTGCTCCCATCTACTGGTTCACTTCCCAAATATCCACAATATCTAGGGCTGGACTGGAGCCAAATCTGGGAGTTGGAAATTAGGTGCAGGTCACCTATATGAGTGTCAGGAAACCAATTACTTGAACCATTACTGCTGTCTCCCAGGGTCTACATTAGCAGGAAATTGAAGTCAGGAGTCAGAGCGATGTATCAAACCAAGGCATTATGATATGGGATGAAATTGTCTTAACTACTAAGTCAAATGCCCACCTAAAGTAGATTTCAATATTTCAAACAGTTATGAATTGTTTATAAATTAGATATTTATAGGAAAATGGTCTAGAAACTATAATAACTGTCTTCTAGGGTTGTAGAAAAGAGAAATTTTGTCTTCTCAATTACAACAAAATCTACACATATTTTCCTAAGCATATAATAATACATTTGAAAATGTTATATAAACATGGCCAATATATAATGTGTTCAAATAAGTAATTAAATCTCCTGACAGGATATAATAAAGTTTTAGAATATTTGTGAAATTTGAGTGTTTGATTCAGTTCACTGAACTTAGTGCCCAGCCCCAGAATCAAAGTATCTAAAAAATTGCAAATGGGAGTATGGTGTTAATTATTATATTTTTTTATTTTTTTGGAAATATTTATTTTATTTTCTATTATTTTTTAAAGATTACTTATTTATTTGTTTATTTTAGAGGTAGAGTTACAGACAGAGAAAAGGAGAAACAGAGAGAAAGGTCTTCCATCCTCTGATTCACTCCCCAGATAGACTCAATGACTGGAGCAGACCCGATCTGAAGCCAGGAGCCAGGAGCTTCTTCCAGGTATTCCACATGGGTGCATGGACTGAAGCACTTGAGCCATCTTCTACTGCTTTCCCAGGCCATAGTAGAGAGCTGGATCAGAAGTGGAGCAGTCGGGACTAGAACCGATACCGGTATAGGATGCCAGTGCTGTAGGCAGAGGTTTAGCCCACTATGCCACAGCGCCAGTTCCAAATCATATTTTAGACATAGGGTGGGCATTTGGTGCAGTAGTTGAGATGCCACTTAAGATGTCCACAACCCATATCAGAGCACCTAGGTTCATGTCCCAGATCTGCTTCTGATACCAGCTTTCTGTTAATGTGCACCCTGGGAGGTAGCAGTGATAGCTGAAGTAGTGATTACTGCCATTGGTGTAGGTGGTCTGGATACATTATGATCTCTTGGTTTCTACCTGGCTCAGCCTCCACCTTTGCAGGCAGTGGGGGAGTGAACCTGGGGATGGATGATCTGTGTGTGTGTGTACACATATACATGAAATAACATTTCCAAATTTCACTTAAAATTTTCAACAAGCCAAACTATGTAGTACTGATATAAATTAAACTTTGTTTCAAAGGACACCATCAAGGAAGTGGAAAGACAGGGGTAAGTATTTGGTGCAGCAGTTACATTTTCTCTTGGGATGCCTCTATTCTATATAAGAGTTCTTGTGTTTGATTCCTGGTTCTGCTTTTAGTGCTAGCTTCCAGATAATACACAACCTTGAAAGCAGAGGGTGATGGCTCAAGTGTTGGATCCTTGCCACACATGTGGGAAAAACAGATTGACTTCCCACATCCTGGCTTCAGGCTGGCCTATTCCTGGCTATTGCAGGCATTTGGGTAGTGAACAAATGAATAGAAGATCTGTGTCTGTCTGCTGCAGTCTTTCAAATAAATAAAATAAAATAAATTTTAAGTAGAAAGACAATCAACAGAATGGGAGAACATTTTTGCCGACAATACAGGTATACCTCATGAAGGATTTGCATCTAGAATATATAAAAATACTTAATCCCAATAACAGAAAAAACTCAAAAACTGTGAAATGATATGAATACATTTTCTGCAAATAAAGTGTGGAAATCAGAAATATGTGCAAATGAACATACTTAACATCATTAGTCATCAGGAGAATGCAAATCAGAACCACAATAAGATACTGATTTGTGTCCAATAGGATAGTTCTAATTAAAAAAAGCAAAGCAAAATAACAAATGTTTGAGAGGATATGGAGAGACTGGAAACTGGTATTTTTGGTGGAAATGTAAAGTGGTGCACCCATTGTGGAAAACAATTTTGTGGTTCCTCCCATGTGATAAAGGAGTGTTTTATATATATATATATATACACACACATATATATATATATATATATATATATCTGTGTGTGTGTAAACTAAAAATAGTGCAACAAGTGCTCAAACAAAAATTATACAGGAATATTTATAATAGCATTTTTCATACCAGCCAATTATGGAAACAATCCAAGTATACATTCACTGATGAAGGGCAAACAGAACGTGGCATATCCATACAATAGAATATTAATTTTATCATAAGAAGGAGAGAAGTATAAATACATGCTACAAGGATAAATCTTGAAAACATTATGCTGTGGCATAGTGGGTAAAGCCGCTGCCTGCAGTGCCGGCATCCCATATGGGTGCCAGTTCGAGATCTGGCTGTTCCACTTCCAATCCAGCTCTCTGCTATGGCCTGGGAAAGCAGTAGAAGATGGCCCAAGTCCTTGAGCCCCTGCAGCCGTGTGAGAGACCCAGAAGAAGTTCCTGGCTCCTGGCTCCTGGCTCCTGGCTCCTGGCTCCTGGCTTCAGATCGGCACAGCTCCAGCCTTTGTGGCCAATTGAGGAGTGAACCAGTGGTTGGAAGACCTCTCTCTTTGTCTCTTCTTCTCTCTGTGTAACTCTGACTTTCAAATAAATAAATAAATCTTTAAAATAAAAGCAAAAAAGAAAATATGCTATGTTAAAGAAGCTAGTCACCCAAAGTACTACATTCTATGTAGTTTCATATACATGAAATATTCAGGAGGGGCAAATCTATAGATAATATTTGCGTAAGGATGGGATATCCTTTAAGGTATGATTCAGGGGTGATGCCGAAGGAGATTTTGTGGGGTAATGAAATTGCTCTCAGATTGACTATGGTGATATTTGCACACATCTATAAATTTCTGAAACCATCCATTTATGCACTTTAAATTATGAAATATTGCTTTTGGATAATATCTTAAAGTTGTGAAAAAATAAAAAAGAAAGGCATCTGAGTAGCAATTCTCTTTTTTTATCTTTTTTTTTTTAATTTTTTGACAGGCAGAGTGGACAGTGAGAGAGAGACAGAGAGAAAGGTCTTCCTTTGCCATTGGTTCACCCTCCAATGGCTGCTGCGGCCAGCGCGCTGCGGCCAGCGCACCGCGCTGATCCGATGACAGGAGCCAGGTGCTTCTCCTGGCCTCCCATGGGGTGCAGGGCCCAAGCACTTGGGCCATCCTCTACTGCACTCCCTGGCCACAACAGAGAGCTGGCCTGGAAGAGGGACAACCTGGACAGAATCCGGCATCCCGACCGGGACTAGAACCCTGTGTGCCGGCGCCGCAAGGCGGAGGATTAGCCTAGTGAGCCGCGGCGTCGGCCCTGAGTAGCAATTCTCAAGGCAACTTCTCCTAACTTTTCATTCAGTTTCTGTGATGCATGATGGTAGAATAGGACTCCTACAGAAACATCATCTTGAAAAGCAACTTTCACACAAAATACATTCACAAGAGCTAAAGAAACCAAGAGAAAGATCAGAGCACTTTGGTGTTGCACAGAAGTTACACATTGAATCATGCAAGAAGGACAGCTTTATGTTACCATGTCACCCCTCCTGCAATTTTAGACAATAAGTTTAACATGGAGAAATACTTATCTGTATGGAGAAAGAAGAGGGAATTGAGAATAAGAATTTTCCTTGGTTACCAAAAACTAGACATGCTTCATTAAAATCTAGTATAGAAAATGGCATTTTGGGTGGATTCTACAGCCCCATTATCCAAGCCTACTCTGGCATCAGGAAAACCCAAGTAGTCTCAGTTTTTGAACTGGCCTCAGCACCAGGCAGGCCCCAGTGGTCCTGGGATTTGGGTCCACCCTAGCACCAGGCCAATTGTTTATTCCTAGTCATCTGGTATACACAGACCCAGGCTCCAGGCTAGATTTTGTAGATGGAAGATCTAAGTCACTTTGTACCACACCAGTCCTTGCAGCCCCAAGCTTCAGACTTCTCTCAGTGCCAGGTCAGTAACCCTAGCCATAAACACCAAGTGATCACCTGTGGAAAGAGTCTAGACCTAGCACCGAGCTAGTCTACATGGCCCACCATCCGGACTGGCACCTTGCTCCAAAGGCACAGGGCTGCACCAGTAAATCTAGGGTGCAGGCCTATAGAATAGATTTCAGTGCTAGAAGGTCCTCTGTGGACCTAGACTCCAGGATCTTCCCTGTTTCCAGGATAACAGTAAAGGCCCCAGTACCCACGCTGCCATTGCTGTCATAGTATCTAGGCCAGCACTTTCACACTCAGCTTCTAGGCCAGTGCTAGCAGACACAGGCTCCTGGATAGTCCCAGCAGCTTCACACTACCGAATAATCCCAATGGCATCAGGCAGGAGGCCAGCATTTGCAATCCTAAGAACTAGACCAGCCTAGGGTGTATACTGACCCTAGAACCAGACAGGCTCAAG